GCAATATCATATCCCAGTACACACGATTCTTCTATACCATTACACTTAACATAATTTTAACTGTCCCATTTACTTCTTTTCCTATTTGAATTTTTACACCAGTTGTTTTCATATTTTTTCAATATTTTCAAGCGAAAATTGCTATCTGCATCTGATAAGAATTATTCAGGAAACCTGAACTGCGAAAATATCACAATCAGCTTTCGTGCTATTTTCTCTTCTTCCAGAGAATATAATGCTACTGCTTCTAAATAACTGGTGGTAGAATCAACCACTGTCAAAATATATTTATTCTCTTGCTCGATACTAACAGAACTAAAGGGTTCACTAATAATTGTAAATTAACGATTGGGTTTTTTACTTTTATGCTCCTCTTACCAGCTTGCTGACATGCTGGAAAGCTCTTTACATAAGTTTCTAAATCTCCAAACATACCCGACCAGTAGCATTTTTCTTCCTATTCTATCTTTCTGTTTAGCTATGCCTAAATGTCCAGCCAACGTTGGACTACTGTTTGATCCTTACCATCTATTGTATCATTTCTAGTGCATTTATGCTTCAACATTTCTTTCCACCAGTAATAATAACTCTACCGAAGTTTAGTTACTACTGATTTCTCTACCATGGCTTTACTGCAGTATTTATCAAAACTCTTATGTTTTAACTGCCATTTAATTAATTATTTTTGATTCACATTCCCTAATCTAACTCGCTTCTTTGGCTACGTGTTATCAGTGACACTGCTGTATTTTGCAACCCGACAGCTTTTGTTTCATTATCAAACAAAATTTCGTTGTATGATACCACCCGCCACTTTTTATAACTATTTCATTTTCAAAGGCCCTACATTTTAATGTGACTTTAGCTAGTGGTGTGGTATACCGCCCCCCCCCCCCTGTTGTTGTGATAAACCCAATTAAATTTCATGTATCACCCGTGAGTTGATTATTTTTTAGTAACTCTTTTCTCATCAAAGTTTTTCATCTACCAGTATCCCTTAATGCCTTTACGGTTTGGTCATTTATCATTTGGTTAATTCTACGAAGTATCTATTTTAAACTACCCACGTCCCGAAAAAACATTTGCAGTAGTTTTCATGCCCTTCGCTTGAATTTTCCTTATTCTATCATTTTCACGCACGGCATTTAAGCTACACTTTCTTGCAGGCATTATGTGTTAGATCAATAAAACCTAGTATATTTAAAAAAATAGTATGCAGTCAGACAAACAAACTCGCATACACGTAACTTTATATAATAAAATACACGTAAAGTAAACAATATAGTATAGTGATGGTACTTATAATAATGTGAGTATGTTTTATAGCAAATCCACATGCTGTGTTCACTAAGAAGAAACGAACCCCTGATCTCAGTTTTGTATATCCATAGACTTACTGTTGTATCACTGGGGGATTAATATAATAGTGTACAGAGTATGAAACAGTTATGAGCATTCAATATATGACGTGATTTTACGAGTTGAAACAAAGAAACTCACAAAAATGAAGAATAAAACCTATATTAAAGAAAAAAGTAGCTAAAATGTGTTTATAGCAGTCTATGAAACAAACCGAAATTAAATTATTGCAAAGTAAATTAAATGTAAAGTTGGAATGAAGGCAAACTTAGCTGAATATGCAGAAATGTCTGAAAACATGTTTACAAAGTGATAAGAATACAGTTTTGAAAGAACTGCGCATTCTTGTTTCAGACCTTAATAAGTCGAGAAAGCCCATAGAAATTGCTCTTACTGTTATGTTCATTAAAAAAATTACACGCGGGTTAAGTCTTGTTTGTGTGAAATACTTTGCAAATAAAAAAAAGTTGAAATCGAAGCCAGTCGTCACGTGATGAACAACGACATTATGCCATCGTGTAGCATACACGCTACATTAAAAGGTTTGACTAAGAAAAAAACAGGTAAGGTGATTCTGATTGGAAAATCCAGTATGCAATCCGGACTCCTTGGACAAAAGTCCTTCTAACGATCTGAGATTTGTATCGTTTGATCAAGAAATTTGCGGAAAATGTTCCGGACGGAAAAACAGACAAACGGAGGCATATTATATATATATATATTCTCTCTCTTTCTTCAATACAACACATTACATTATTCCTTCTTTCCGAAGTTTTCTTATTATGCCAAAACAATTTAGATATATGCCCAACTTTGTCACATTTAAAACATTTTGTAATTCCTCTCCTTATTTTAAAAATCACTCTGTGGAAAGGTTTTCCTTACAGTTCTTCGGGAATGCTGATCCAGTTTTATTTCTTTCTGGGGTAAGTAGTTTTATTAGCTTGATTTTCACCAACTTTGAATCCACTATGTTTTCTTGTCACTACAATCTAGATAATAACGTTATTGGCTCACGTGCATTTGCCCATATTATTAACTGCGCTGCTAATTTTGTTAAAATTTGCTCTTGCAATATCATAACTACAATCTTATCAGCAACTCCAGTACAGTTAGATCATTCGATTCATTTAACTAGCAACTAATGCAAACTTGTTCAATACTCTTTATCTGTCTCATTTGCCATTTTTTCTAGCTTTTTGAAGTTCCTGCGATAAATTCTCCAGACTTAACTCAGATGTCTCTAAAATAGCTGATTTCACTACCTCATATTTTAATTCGTCTACGTTTCCAGTCTCATTGTATGCTCCTAATGCCTTTTCAGATAATGCAGGAAGTAGTGTTTTCATCATATTCTGTGGCTACCATTCATCTGCTCGTACTATTTTTTCAAACGTACAGAAAATACATCTATACCATTTTCACATGCTTTTTTCATGTATACATCAGTTCTATCACCAGAATAACCTTGCCTTCTACTCATCATCAACTCAAATTCTCTCCGCTTATGCTTATCTTCTAATTCTAGATCTAATCATTTTTTTCTCAGCTTCTATTTCCAAGCATTTATCCTCAACTTCTAAGCCTTCCGTTTCTATCTATATCTTAGCAAGTTTTAAATCATTACCACCATAACCTTCGCGAACATCATTCGAATTTTCTGTATTTTCATTAAGTCAAGGCTAGAAATATCATCCTCTGTGACTCCTGTCTCAATTAAAACTTCACGCATGTCATCATTTTTCTAATTGCTTCTATGTGGTATTCCATGTTCTCTAGATATATTTACCAATTTACTTTTGGTTAGTGAACTATAGTTCTCATCCATGCTAGCATGAATTATCTACTCTTAAACAATGAACCACAAAATTTATAACCAGCAAAAAATTTACTGAACCACGGCAAAACGAAACCAAGATAAGAAAAAAAAAAAAGAAACTGCCTCTCTTTCACGACTTCACTAGTTCATCCAGTTTATTTTCCTTTTCGGTGTTTGTTGAAATGATTACAACTTCAAACTCTTCGTTAGTTCCTGGGTTTTGCTTCCTAACGAATTGAAAACACCCACTTCTGACACCACTTTCTTACGATTGCTTTGACGCCACTTTGTTATAATCATGCTATACTTGTGCGTGTTCCTATCAGAAATTGACCCATACCAATGTAAGCATAACAAATTGCCGTTTATTACTACAATCAGTAATACAGATTTAGAAATAGATATTGGTTTTAGTAGCGGCATATTACTTTTTCCTTCACTCCTTTCGGTTTATTCATTCTCTCTCTCACATCTCCCGGTTTTCTATTTTTCGCTGAACTCCTGTCTTTTAAATTTCCTTTTCAAACCCATGCCAAACAGTTTTTTTCTTCTTCACTTTGCATCTGTTTCCTGTATATTGGATTATAACTTTTCATAACTTAGAAAGGCGGTCCCTCATTCCAATAATTTTCTGATGACTTAGTGCTGTAATCCTCTAATTCATCAAATAATGATCAAAAGTGGCCACTTTCTCAACCCTAATCAATGTTCCTTACACCTAACTTCATAACAGTCAGCTGTTTTTAACTTATATTTTTTATAAGTGTTACTGGTTAGTTAATTCGATACCCTTTTGAGTTTGTTTTTCTCCTTTTTTATATATTTAACTTTAATTTATTATTTCTTCACTACTGAAAATTGATATGGTATTTTGTCATTCATGATATTTTATAGATTTAGTCTGAAACATTCTCTGAAGTTTACATACGCATATGATAATTTCCAAAGTCGATAGTGTTAAAACGTGACTCTCATAATGTGAAACTATACGCACATTACTTCATCATTGCCTTCTTAGAAAGTATGTTTTTCAGGGAAGTTACTTAAAGTTAGATATTTTTTACTTTAGTGTTCCTAGGGCTCATAATATTGAAAAATGAGTAAACGATTGTAAATATTTAAGCAAGTTTTGAAACCTTTATATGAAAGTTATTTTTATTTTAAACAGTTAAGAGATAGACAGATGAATGCAAAAAAAAAAGGTAACTAAAGTTTTTGTGCTAAAAACTTGCTCATCAAAATAAACGAAACACGCATTCACCGAAATCACCGTCGACAACATTTTGAGCGAAACACGAGATATTGTTTTAAAATCGTTTCAAAATTAAAGGCTATGAGACGAGTAACCTATAGTATGTTACTAGTTAAAATTCTTTTAAAATAAAGAAATTAAAAATATAAAAATATTTATCTGAAATAACGAAATGATATTGCTATGGACCATCCAAGATGCACGAGAAATAAGAGAAGATTTTGTAAGAAAATATTTTAATGATTCAAACCGTAATTATTTATCATAAAGCATAAACATCCCATAAAGCCTGAATAAAATCTATAGAATATTCATTATACCCCAGTTTAAACCCAAATAATTATTTCATTTTAAAATACCAGTGTATATTCATATGTACTGTACAAGACCGCGACGCACAGATGAATACTGCTGAGAGTAAAATGTATTTATTTTAGCTTAGTATTGTTTAAATAGACGTCATGATGATCACGATCTCATAGAACAGTTAGTTTTCACAAGACTATCGTTGCAATGATACATGTGTATGGGTTGAAGCTTCAAGGTTGAGGAGTCGCTGAGTTATTTTTAACTCCAGACCGCTGATGGTTTAGAACAGGAAACTCGCATAGTTCTGTAGTTTTTGTTTTGGCACGGAATATTTTAATTTTTGTTATGTGTTACGAGAAATATCGGAATTACGTTTAACAAAGTCAATGAAACTATAAACTGTGTATATAATTGAGAGTGTGATAATATAGTCAGAAATACGTTAAAGAATGTAAAAATAATTCATGGAACCTCGCCCATCCTTTCACAGGGGTTGTTCCTTATGTATACAGAGAAACGATAAAACTGTTTAATTTGTCGATGAAGGTGTCAACTGAACTGGAGATAAGCCTGTCATGTTGTACCTGGTTTCTATAACTGTTATGTGTTTTTTTACAAGTAAGTGATGAGAGGTAATATACATTTGACTTTTATATTTCCATCGAGATTCTTTGACTTTATACCAGCGTATATGTAGGCTAACAGTTAACGCCTGCCTTACCTGCGCACTATGGTTTCTAAAGGGTGTTTCTTTCATTAGCTCTTCACTTGAAGATCGAAAGAAAACGTACGCAGATCAGTATTTAAATTTATAAAGTTAAGATGTAGCATAAGACAGATATTTTTTCAAATCACTGTTTGTCTGATCTAATTAATTGTAAAACAACAACTTATTATTCTATAACGAAGAAACACAGAAAGGATATTTCAGCCTCATATTTTATGTCTTTTTTGAGTTCAGTTATCTTTATTACACTAACGTAAGAAATATCCTAGGAAAAATATTAATTAAAGTCCCTAAGTTCTTAAAATAATATATATATATCACTTTGGTACCTCTGCATCAACAGAAAAAGCTAAACACTTATAGGCTATTCAAACATAAAAGGTCCCCCAGTGGCACAGCGGTATGTTTGCAGAGCACATATAGCCCTTTGTGTAGCTTTGTGCTTAGCTACAAACAAACAGAAAAGAGGCTAACATTAATACACTAATAACCTAAATCCAATCTGCCAGCTTACTATATACAATAAATATTCACAAACTGGTCTATACAAAACATTGTAGAACAAACCAATATTCTACCTAACCTACTAAATAAACTAATTTCAATTAAAAAGTCGCCAGTAACTAATTGTTCAACAGACAGATAAATGGAAAGAGAGTAACTTGCTAACCTATTGATGATTAAACATCCATAGTAGCAATGCAAAGGAAATATTTTATAATCAAGTAACTCTTTATGGATTAACGATATATCTTGTAATGCAATACAACAATATAACCCTTTTTAAATTCGTAAATGCAAAGTCAAAATCCTCTTTCCTTACAATATCAAATTACAAGTTATTTTAATTCAGTTGCAAAGAAAGTGTAACTATTAGCAACATCACTTCCAAAACAGAACAGACTCCTTAGATCACAGTAAGTAGTGTAAAATAACTCCGTAAATTTATAAGACAACTATATTACAATTTCTGTTTACTCCACGACGTAAAGTACAAGGCCCTTTTTATATTTCAAATTCGACTTACTAGCCTCCAAATAGTAGTTGAATAGTCTAACATTTTCAAACCTGTAACTTTAAGCAAAATACCACATAACCCTTTAAATTATAATACAAGCTAATTAATACAACATTTAGCATCAGTACAAAGAAAGATAAAATCTTTAAACAATTTAAATCAAAACATAGGGCCTGTCAAATTCACATACATATGAAAAACTATTTTATCATCAGATTAGACTTTTACTTTAAATCAGAATACAGCTCAAAATGATAATGTTCCAATCATAGTTAAATCACATGACAAGTCAAATTAAGCTCTTCAACAACAAATACTGGGGTTAATTCCCCTTAATAAGAACAATGTTCTTGGTCCTGTTGCCCTTGGAACTACTTTCTGCATAAATAATAATTCTCAATCTTGTGACCATGATTATTCACTATACCTTAACACCACAATTTTCATTGTTAAGGATAGACATACATCTTAACAAACCTTCCAAAGATCTTCTATTTAGGCGTAGGCTTCCAAAATCAGGTCTGATCAGATTAAATGTACAAAGATATATTTAAAATGCATCAGGATATTTGTATTTGGTCAAGAGTGATTGCTATGAATTCTGTTTCTTTGACCTTATTTTTCTTAAAAGAGCTGTTGATTCTGAGAGGTCGTTATATGATTATATATCTTTGGTGTGAGACTTCATAAACTTCAAATCCTTGTTTATTATATTTCTAAGCTTACCTTATTGTACCTTATAGAGGACAATCCATTTACCATGTAGGAATGAATGTTTTATATCATTATGTTTAGTAAATTAAGATAAATTTAACATGCAAAAGTGGCATGATTGCTTTTAACTTTAGTATTACTATCTTAATAATTTTTACCTTTATTTGTCACAAATTACTCACAAAAAAGTTTATATACATGATCACGTAGATCTCAAATGTCACACCTTTGACTTCCACCCTAAAGCTTGAAAAGAAAAGATTGGTGTAGCAGATCTCAACTGATACAGATGTATATCTATAGTATTCACCATTAAACTACAAATTCAGAAATAGGGATTGATACTTTATTTTAACTTTTAGGCTAAAGTTATCATAAGTTATGGTAATACTTACTCATTCTCATGTTTGTTCTACTCAGTTTGACTAAACACGTCAATATATTCTTTTAGCACCTCACTGAGATATATGTACTGTTTTTTTCATATTTTTGAAGTAATGCTACTAATGTACTTAATTCCACTTACTTCTCCTTCACACACAATGCTTACACCGAGACAACTTAGCAGTTTTAAAGATATTTGTCTACAGGCATATACCATTACCAGTATATAACTTACTCTCAGAGAGAGATTACAATATGGGCAAGTGTATTTTTTAGAAGATTAACCATGACTACTCTTGTTTTGCAGTAAATCTTATTAAGCTACTACTATAATTTCTAATTTGATGAATACTTGATGAAGATTTGCGATAGTAGTATAGAATAATGTCCAAACACTTCTTAGAAAGATGCAGTCCGTTAATAACTGCCTTCTTTCTAAACCTTTTCTAGGTGATGCCGTACAGGATTACTTTGCAAACCTTAAATGAATATATTCATTAGTTTGCCTTCGAATCCCACTGCAGCCGTGCCTCAATAATAAGCTTTTCTGTGGTACAATTGACCTGCTAAACATCTATATTTTCAGATACTTTGTTTTTTTGAGCCATAACCTTGATTCTGTGTAAAGCCGAATTCTCTTCTGGATCAATTCTGCGGTAGGTTTTCTTTGCTGATACAATTCCAACTCTTCTGCTGGTTCTCATCCAAATGCTTAATATATTCAGGACTGGACCACACAGGGCAAGTGATCGATGCAGCAATTCGTTAGACAATTAAGATGAATCTATGTTAATCCTCTCTTGCTGTACATTTATAAATTAATGTGTTGACTTGTTTTTGCTCCCCTCTCTACACAAATAGCAATAAATCTCATCAAATTATACTATCTCTTATATTGATGTGATTCAATTGGCGACTATATGAGTGAAGATCATCATTCTTTATCTTTGCATCCTCACAGATGAAAATTTTATTCTATCCTTGACATGATGCACATTGCTGCTGCAAATGCAAAATCTCTTGAAGCCTATCATAGGTCTGAGCTCCTAGTGTACCGAGTCGTCTCTCCTTGTTGGAAGGTAAACCATGTATACCCTGTTTAAGCTGTGAACTTTTATTTAGTTTCTATACCACTACTGACATAATGGAATTAGTTGGTAAATTGGAAACTAGCCAGTTTTAGCATGTTGGTTAAGTAATGAAACTCCCCATCAATGGTGACTTCTCCTCCATATGTCCATGTTTCACTTAGCAACCAAAGGCAACATCTACGGTAAAGGTTTGGTTATCTTAATCAGATTATGCAATGAAAACTCTTGGATCACTTGGTGTAGCTCCTTGATTGCATTTTTTGTCCAAGAGTAGGCTCCGTTAAATATGACTTATTTACGCCACTCCTAATCTCAGACGAGCACGTGTCTTCTATTTCTGGAATGGCACACTCCTTTGAAAGAAATAAATGTTTTCTTACCCCAAATAAAAAAAAATACAAGGAAAATTAGTAATTGAACCAGAGGAATAAATCAAGTTCCACCTGACCTGCCCTTTACTGGATTGGGCAACTCTGTGAATAAATCAAAGATATATACACATTATTCGCAAACTAAAAAATAAATAAATACCGATAAGATAATAAAAAATATTGATTAACAGGAAATGACGGTGAAACTATTTGCTTAAAAAAGAATACACTGAATATGTTAAATTTTACAGTAATGATAGATGAAGTGAAGTGAAAATAGTACTAACGTAGAATTTTGATGGTTATGTAATGGTTGTTATGAAGCTTTAAAGACTATGATCCACAGCGTCATGGCTCTTCTGCTAGAATAAACCTCTTTTCAATAAAGACAAAGTACACTTAAAAGCAGATATAGTGACAGAAGCGTAACTAATTATGCTCCGGACATCCTTGTAGTTATCTTTCTGCGTGCTTCAGTTATGTAAGGGTTAATCCAAGGAACACAAGCTCCTTCTATTATAGTTGAGTACCATATATTATAATTATTTTGGAGTCTCAACATGTCTTTAAAGATCATATCACTATGTCATTCATATTTCATCTGACGATCGTGCATCTTGACAATAGTCCTGTAACATCGTTTCTATTTCAAAAGATTCGGACGTAAAGATATCATATCCAAAACACACAAATTCTCCCTGCTGGCTTTTCATAATCCACTGTAATATACGAGGACGACTGTTTCTCAGCATCATTTTCAACACTACAATTGCACAGAGTCCTATAGGCCATACGTGAAAGGACTTGAAAGTTATGTCTTCGTATGGAAAAACATGAATATTTATTTCCTTCTCAATCTGCTTGAGATATGCAGTGGTTTGATGTGGGGTATGATTGGAAACCCCATTTCGATGAACTAAGACCCTGATGACCTTGTTTTCAGATGTATATCCTTCTTTATTATTGGTATACTACATCATAGGACACATGGACGGTTTTTCCACTGGCCTTTGTTTTCACAAATTTCTTACCTATTACAAAACACCACATTTTGTTTACCACGACTGGAGTACGACTTGTTGTAGATCTCTTTCTGGATATTTCTGGCGTCTCATGTTTATCTATATTCATGTCTAACTAGTAAAGATGCTAAGATGTATTAATAATTGGATTGATTATATGTATGTCACTATTATTGGCTGATTATGAATTCACCCTTATTATAGTTTCAATTATTATGTTTTTCTTCATCTTTTTTGGTGTGCGAAAAAAAAAAAAACAACAGATAGTTATTTTCCACGTCAAGTTTGTTTGAACTTCAATCGTTTGGTTTATGACACTCGACAATGGCTAAGCAGTTGAAGAATGTACATCTTCAACCATAGCCTATCAAGAAGTAGAAGTCATTACCATTTTCCATCATTTAACATGACTTCCTTATTTTATAGTGTTGTAGATAAATTTAAATGTTTTGGAGTTTTGATCTACAGACTACTGAAATTTGAGATGCTACTTTTTAACTATATAATTTTTATAAAATATTTAAATTTGCTTTTATAACAATATCAAAAAAGTGGTTAAAGTTCCAGTTCTCTAAAACTATTGTAGGTCTTCAGGGTTAACTATAATTATTTTTTATAAACAAAGAAACAATTATATAATGAAGACTTGCGTTTGATTTATATTTAGCGAAATATTTTCTCTCTCTATTAGGTGAAGTACAGGCTTTTGAAGTGAAGTACTTCGGAAAGAAAATAGTTCAAGAAGGATACCCATTCTCTCTTGAATGTGAAATCTCTGAATTTGACATTCCGAAGTGGACAAAGGACGGTGTAGTGATAGTACCGAGTGAACAAAATAATTACACACTTAGTCACAAAGAACTGAGAAATCACCAAATCCGACTTCGTTTGTCAGTAGATTTTGCGCAGCTTCACCATGAGGGAGAATATCGATGTAATAGTTTCAGTCGAGAGTCTCATCGTTTATATATAGTTTCTGTGGATTATCGTATGTATCATGACATTTTTTTTCTCTTCAATGAAATTAATCTTATTTATAAATTATTATAAAAGTGGACTTGAACTTACCATATAAAAAGCAGCATACTCCCATATTAATATCATTAAACGAATATTGTTGTACAATACTTTGAAAAGTGGCTATTGTCTAATAATTTGACCGAAATATCACGAATGTATTGATGAAGTTTTCTCTCTGTTCTTGTTGTTGCCACTCTTTAAAGTATTTCATTGTGTGTATTTGTTTGGGAGGTTAATGTTAATTAAAATCTATATAAATTATAGGGTATATGTACATAAGAATTCTAAAGAAACTAATTGTTTAGAATACCTTCCACAAATTAGGCAATTTATTTCTCATACTCTTCAAAGATATATAAAACATGGTTTTTGATTCCTGATACTCTCATGTTTTAGCACTTGGAGATAGTACTAGCACAATTTAATGAAGAAAATGAAATATTTTACACATCATTACAAATAAAATAACTGTTCAAGAATCCAGTTACTATTGCAAAAATATAATTAATACTTTTCAACTTGAAAATGTGAACTAACTTGAAATCATCACCAAGTACACCTGTGTTTAATAATTGGGTTGAGAAGATAACTCAGAGCTCTTTATAGCTTGAGCCCAGAATTTTCGATGTTCATGGATGTTTAAACGCATTTTCCTTAATTATTCATTCACCAAATAGCTTTTGAGTCCATGTATTTGTTGGTTACATGATTTCTAGTAACATATGAATCAAACAAAAAGAAGCCCCCTCAGTGACTCAACGGCAAAGTTGAGGGCTAAAAGCCCTAAAAATCGGGTTTCATACCCTTGGTGGACAGAGCACAGACAGCTTATTGCATATCTTTGTGCGTAACAAGAAAGATTATTTAACTCAAAATATCGTTAGTACTGCAACTGACACCACTAATTACTATTGGGTTGTCTTATGTATTCCACTTAATATAATGCAATATGTGGATTTCACTGGTAATGAACAGTATAAAAACAAATATCTAATTTGAGGATTAAAATAACTAATTATATTATCATCGAATAATATTGCAATTATTTGAACTATAGATAATCTACTAAGATGAATAATATTCCAACAAAAATATTTCAGAGAGAATCAAAGAAATAGAAGAAACTACGAAGAAAAAAGACTTTGTTCAGAACATTGTACTTCAAATTGGTAAAACATTTCAACTGCAATGTAACCTTGATGACGTAGCTGTATTTCAAGTGAGCTGGTAAATATGTTTTATCACTTCAAGTTCAACTAAATAATGTGCATGTTATTGGTTATCTGTAGAGATAATAATTTTATTGACATGTATATTTTTAATATAGAAATATCATAGCTAACTATCAGACTAAGCGCAGCCCAATGGTTAATGCGCCGGACTGCGGAGTTGAGGTTTTGTGGTTCACATCCTATTACTGCCACACAAAAAAATAAAACTAAATAGAAGTGCTGCACACTTTGTGGCTTTGCAGGCATTACAAGATTTATTGGAATAATGGTGGAATTCTTCTACTCAATCTGACAATAGTAGCCAGAGTCGGAGGTGGATGATGTTCACTAGCTGCTTTTTCTCTAGTCTGTCACTTCAAAATTAAGGATGACCCTCGTGTAGCGTTGCGAGAAAGCCAACAAACATGCAAATAAAAACAAAAGCTTACTGTCATATATACACTAAGACGCTAGAATAAAACTATTCGCTGTCGTTCTTTTATTTAATCCTTTCTTCCTTACCTATAAAAAAGAAAATCATTACTCGTAATATATACGTGAACTTATACTTAAGAATGCATTTGACTTGTAAAGATTACGAAATTAACTCAGTCTATTTCCAATAGGGTAAAACATATTTTTATCTTACAGCCTGTGAATAAGAAATTTAATATAATCCCAAGATTATAAATAAAATTATTAGTTTAGTTCTAAAAATTAATTTTATTTATATGGTAATTTCCGTTTACTAATGCTAAAAGCTTAAAGATCCACTTTAAATCCAAATCATGTTAATTAATAAATTTAAACTATTAAAAGAGCTAAAATAAGAACAAAGTCATGAATTAAAATTTCAAACATTAATTTTATTCATCGTTTAATTTTTGTTTAGTAATGTCAAAAGCTTAATCACCCACTTTTAATCCAAATCATGCTAATAAGTTTAAGCTATTATTATGGCAAAATTAAGGACAAAAACAAAAGTTTAGTTTTGAAACATTAATTTTATCTATACGATAATTTTGTTTTACTAATTTTTACTTAATGACCGCCTTTTCATCTAAATCGTGCTAATCAATGTATTATATGAATTAAAAACTAGATATAAACAATTTGCTGGATTTTATTCTATTCAGGTACAAAAATGGACATAGGATTGTTCCTGAAAAAGGATCTAATATGGTTCTAAAAGATGATAAGTTGATAGTTAATGAAGCTGAAGAAGCTGATGCTGGAGAATATAGTTGCACTGTGGATCCTTCTTCTCTCTCTCGACCTGTGGCTATTGGTCAACATATTCAAGTCCGTTGTAAGTAAAAAAATATATACATGTATAATATTCTTTTACACAAATTAAATTTCGTTGTATCAATTTTTAAAATAGGGGTGTGGACAAAAAATATTTGTCTTCACAAGACTGCAGTTAAGCACAAAGCTCCACAATAGGCTAAATGTGCTCTGCCCACCAGGGGTATCGAAAGCCGGTTTCAAGCGTTGTAAGTCTGCAGACATTCCGCTGTGCAACTGGAGGGGGTCATAAGAGCGGTCAAGTCTTTAACCAGCTGAAGTTATATATATATGTCATGCTTGCTTAGCACAGTTGGAGTATGACTTGTTGCAGGAATATCACCATCTTGGAAATTCTAAATCCCCGATATAAACACACCTTTATGAATATCTTGCATCAGAAAAGAATATTATATAAATTTTCCCAGAAGTGATCAATATTCGGTGGCATAACACTAACTACAAACGACAAGCAATGCTAAAATGTATTTTGATACATTCCGTTTCAGTGTGATTTTCATATCGGCTGTATTTGTCACAGAATAACACGGAATTAGATTCTTTAGATAACACGTTCACCACCTTATGTTTGGAACTATTACACACCCATAAATAATTTTATGAATCATTAAACGACAAACAACAGTTATTTAGAACAATATCTAAAAGAATGCAACTAATAAATCTTTATAGAAGAGATACCAAAACTGGATTTTTAATTGCTAATGCAGAAAATGTGTTTTTTAATATATTTAAACATTTCAGTTTATTTCATTCAGATCCGTTGATGTACAAGGTTTATTATAAACGCATTTTAAGGGTAAAAGCGGGAGTTGTAATTTAAGCAAGCTTTAAAACACTTTCCTGCACTTCCCCCCCACCTGCCCCACCAGTGGCTTAGCGGTACGTCTAAAGGCTTATAATGCTGAAAATTGGGTTTCGATACCCACAATGGGCATAGAACAGATAGCCCATTGTGTAGCTTTGATACTTTTCATAAACCACCAGTCAGTAGGCAAACATTGGGTAGTCTCCTTATTCACTGGGATGTGGTATGGGAGTGCTTCACTTTAAGACTATAATTTTTCACTATAAGTAATGAGATTCAACACTACGATGTCAGATGTCCTGTAGATCCAGAATGTTGAACAGTTTTATTTTTTTCCACCTTTTTTGTGTTTTAAAAATAAAAAAGATAATCCTTAGTAAATGAAACTACACTTGTAAACATAATGTGGTCTATATTTGGTGGAACCACCATATCTACAGTGAGGTTATATTTTGTACAATGTACACTTTGAATAATCGGCCTTTGTGGTCTCACATTTATTATGAGAAGAAGAAGAATTCAAATCAAGTTTCTACTTTGTTGTTTTAATGCAAAGCCACACTATGGGCAATATGCACTCTGTTCACCAGAGTGAATCGAAACCCGGATTTTAGCGTTATTAGTCTCGTTTAGCCACAAGTTTAGTGTTTCACTTGTTGAACACTTAGTTTATTTAACGTAAGTACTTTAAATTGTTTATCATTTTTTAGCACAGACTCTTAAAACTTTACATAATTATCTGATTTTTAGTGAAATATAGTTCTACATATTTAGCAAGAAGTAATACAGACTCTTTATATTTAATGAATATAATATCAATTCACAAAAACAATGCATATCAAAGACAAACAAACAGTCAAATACACGAGGTTAAAACTACTGTAAAAGCATATTATTTTGAGAAAGATATACCTTTAAAAAAGAACCGACGTAGTTGAAAGGGTTTATTGTTGTAACGGTTTCTATTGCTGAGCAACTTTTTGGATTGTACCGTAAAAAGAAAAATGTAAAATCCTCTATGTTTAATGCTAATGAAATATTTTATTTTCTCGGCTACAAGTCCTATAAGATAGCTTAATTATTGTTCACCGACAGGGTTAAATTTATAATCGATACTAATACAGCATTATTGCTTACTTGTTAATTCTCTTGTTTTACACAAAATAGGCGTATCTCTTACTACTTTATCGAAATACAAGCTCGATAATCAGAACAATTAATTAACTAACTGACTAACAAACCCAATAACATAATATTTTACTTCTTCCGAACTCAACGTAACTTGATAATATACTCAGCAACAAATCATACATAGCTTAACTCACGTTTTTATACTACTCAATCCATTCTAAACTTTGGAAAATTTCCAAATGTTCAGTCACGTGGTCATCAGGTGATTTTAGACTTCCTTATGTTCAACCAACAATAAAAACGCCTCAATTTTTAAAGAAAAACATAGCTTACAACGCTTCCTACTACCTCAATTAATGAAGTACCTTGAAGAATACTATCAAACAAAGAAAAAATGATGCATTGTTATTTAACTTGCGTAATTAACAATAGAGTAAGTTTGGACAATTAACAATATTACTATTCATAAATGTAGACATTAAAATCCTTAAATCATTAATTTCTTATAACAAACAAAATGCAATAAAAATGATGACTAGCAAAACTAAATATTCTATTTTTACCCATTTACGGGTCCCTAAACTGTCCATTCACCAAGTCTTTTGGGTGATTTTCTTATTTGTGGCATATGCTATGAAGGTAGGATGACCCCTTGCCCTATGTCAACATTTACTGCCTTGTTATTAGAGTAATTCTCTTTAGGCAGATGGTCAAAGGAATCCACTAGTGTCTTCATACAGATGATACTCTGAAATTGATCATAACGGGAACCTCAGTCTCTTCGGCAGGTTGGTTTATTTCTGACGAAGTATTCTCAAATACTAACTAACTGGCCATAATCATACTCCAAAGATCGATCATGGAAGATAACCTTTTATTCTGATCATATATTTGTTTTTATTATTATTTTTCTCTGTTGTACTTGGTTGTCTTCATTATATTGTGCTTCCATCCTTGTTGTCACTGGAAATTTCATCTCAGTTGGTGCAATTGTCGTGTGTGAACAGGGTTTTCCCGGTCATAAACTGAGAAAATGTTTGGAGCAGGTCTAACCTCACATTTACATATGTTTTTCCAACACATAATCTCCTCAATGCTAGTTATCTACAAAACATGTTGTGTAAGAAGCTTTCCATAGTAAGGGTGACTTCATGACCACTTGCTATTGCATCAGTCCACCATCTTGCTTCATCTTTAGAAAAAATATCCCATATTTCATTACCAGATCAGGTCAGACAATGGCAGCTGTATAAGTACTATGAAACAACATAGTGCAAGGCTCCAACTAACGAATCAATTCACTTCTGGAATGATTTCGTTAAATAATGAACTTCTTATCTGGATGGTGTGACTAGAATATTCTCATTTTTATGATATTGTATCCTAACAATATTATCGATAGTTGAGTCACCACATTATCAGATGGAATATCTAAGTTTCCACACTTATAGTAATATATTTTTGTCTGCAGTTCCTGACAATATGCTCTTTTAAGTTGCAATCTAAGACTTGAAGTTTACTTCTTCCAGTCTTAATAAAACTTTGTCTAATTATATATTTGTGTTATTCTAGACCTCCATTACAGAGATTTAATTTCTACATTATTTGATCTGATAATCACATAATTTAGTTATTTATCAAAGATTTTAATTGGTCCAAGTTCCATTGTTAACTGACCAGTTTCTCTTAAAGATGTACCCATATTTTGCTTTAGCCTAATTCACATGTTCTTATCCACTATGGAAATTATAAAATTATCACGTGAGAATCAATCCATCATTTCGCTTGGAGCATCTATATAACATAATTTTGACAACTCTTTCTACACCTTCAGCAAGCATCTTATCCTTCCTCTTTACTCTATTCTTAAACTTTGCTGTAGAAACTTCATTCTGATATAACAGTCCAAAGCAGCAACAATACTTGATTGTTGTTAGAAGGTTGTTCAGTGTTGTTAAAGCTGGGCTTCTTAAAAGTAGAGCAAGATTATTAGTGTGATATTCCATTTATTATTTCAAATTATGCCTTATATGTCTTCCCGTCATTTTTAGATTAGGCAATGAATGTTGTTCAACTGACCTACTAAATTACATAGGTTTAGGAAGTACTGGTATAGCTGGAGTAGCCATAAATGTCAAAACACTAATGGTATCAGGTGTAGACCATATGGACTGTCCTATTCTTTATTGTATAACTATCGAAAGTACCCGGGTTTGCTCGGGTTATTTGTTTAATGGTGTGTATATTTGGTTTTTCTATATATTAGAAGGTGTTATATAAGGAACCCCTTCCTTTCTATGTAGTTTTATGCTAGCTTGCCTCATTAAAAAGATGCGCACGCACGTAGAGAAGTACTAATACCTAGGTGCACTCCCATAGGGTGCAAAATTTTAGGTTTCTAGGTCCTTTGCTCTTGGAGCTATGGCGGTCACATATTCTTTTCTATGTGGTCGCAAGTTAGCTGGCCTACTAAATTATATAGCTTTATGAAGTAGTGGTGTAGCTGGAGTATTCATAATTGTTAAAACAATAATGGTAAGAGGTGTAGCCCATATGGATCGCCCTATTCTTTATTGTATAATTAATGGCGATTGAGTTTAAATTCTTGGACATATGCAGAAAGGGAGACGTGTCTATTTTGATCCTTACATTTATCAGTTCAATTTCCAGGTGTTTTATTCTGGTATTGATATTTTTTGTACATTGTTGATCTTATTTTTATAAACCTCCTGTATTTCAATGATGTCGTTTTGTCTTTTTCTTCTTGATCATCTTTTAGCTCTTTCATTTCCAGTAATATATGATCTCGCTTCAAGCATTTGTGGAAATATTGAAGTTAATCTGGATTCTACTTTATTTATATCAAAACAACCTGTTCTTGTCACCAATGTTTCTATTGTTGGATAGGTTCTTTCAGTTAATTAAAAGAAGGGTACATAGTCCAGTTTATTTAAGGATAATGAAATAATTTTATTTCTTTGACTACAGGTTCTACCAGGTTTTATAAATTAGCTTAACCAATGTTAGCTAATAGGTTTACGCTTAGAGTCTAAGTTAATACAACAATTTCACTTACTTGCCAGTTTTCTCGCTCCACAAATAGTATGGTATGTCCCTTATTACTTAGTCAAGATTCAACTCCATAATCACAGCATTGAACCAACTAAGTGGCTAGCAAACTCAATCCAATGATATATCATTACGTAAGACTCAAAGTAATTGGCTAATAGAGTCAATAATCAATAATAACGTATTTAGTCTAACTCGATTTTTTATACTGCTCAAACTGTTATAGTACTTTGTAGGAAACTCCATCACGTGATGTAAAACCTTCCTCATGCAAGACAAGAATAAAACTGTTTTGTTGAACTTCACGCTAAGATACGTAAGGGCTATCTGTGCTAGACGTCACTAATCTTAAAAGTGATAGATTGGAGGAAAGAGCTGGTTAAACACCACCTAATACCAACTCTTGGGCTGCTCTTTACAATTGAAAAGTGGGATTGATCATCAAGTCGTCTCAATTGAAGAAAAAAACATAGCCTACAACTATGTTGTATAGAACTTGTTAGTAGAAGTTTAATGTGCTAGAAAGTGTACCCTCACTAACTTGTAGGTTCTACATACATTATAACAATTTTATTATGAAGTTTATACTCTAGATTTTTGTCTGTCACACATGTGTGGCGCTTTTTCTTTTAGGTCTGGAATGTTTGTCAACAGTAATCTAATGTAGTAAAATATCGAGTCAAGCTCTTTCTTCCTTTAGGCCTAGCTGTCTAGGATTATTGTCAACAGTAATTTAATGTAGTAAAATATCGAGTCAAGCTCTTTCTTCCTTTAGGCCTAGTTGTCTAGGATTATTGTCAACAGTAATCTAATGTAGTAAAATATCGAGTCAAGCTCTTTCTTCCTTTAGGCCTAGTTGTCTAGGATTATTGTCAACAGTAATCTAATGTAGTAAAATATCGAGTCAAGCTCTTTCTTCCTTTAGGCCTAGTTGTCTAGGATTATTGTCAACAGTAATTTAAGGTGAGAAAATGCTGTTGAGACAAACTCTTTTTCCTTTAGATGTTTAAAATAACATAACTGCTTTGTTATCTTTAAAAATATACGCACATATTACATCCAAAAATTGTTTATGCCAAATTATTATAAGTGAGATTATATTTCATGATGATAATAGTAATGCAAAGAAACATCCTCAAATGCAAAGTAAAATGTATCCATTTATTAAATAATCCAATAAACAATTAGCGTGAATTACAAAAAATGAGTGATTTCTTTCTTTATTTTTAGCACCTGTTCGAGTAGAAAAGTTTCCAGAAACAATAAGTGTTGTTCTGCAGAGAAACCTAACATTAGAATGTCATGTTCATGGGTATCCTATCCCCACAGTCTTCTGGTTTATTGGTTAGTAGCACATTAAGTTCAATATTTTTTATTTAATCACCTGTTAGTTTTGTGTTCTAGTGGTAATATATGTATAACAAAAAAATCGCATATTTAAGTACCAAATGTATTACATTTTAGTTAAGGTCAAACAATCAAGAAAGCGCAGAATGTGTGGGCTCCCCTGCAAATTTTCCCAACGGGCCAATTTCATATCCGATTTAGTATAGCGCTATGAGACCCTATTTAAAGTCGTCCCCCCGCACTGCGGGGTCTGCGAGGACAGTTGCTACGTCTTTTTGAACAAATATTTGGTTTTAAAATGTTTAGTTTAATGTTGATCTACGTTAAGAATGAGCTTAGAAAACGTGAACTTAGGAGTATATTTTTTAATTCAATTTACATAAGATAAACTTGTGCAAACATTATCAGTTGAGCTTAAGTAATTAACAATAAATTAGCGATAGGATCCATGTGGACCTCATTGTTTTTCTAAAACATTTAAGCATGAAATTAATTGAGTCTATGACGTCTTTTATTATACGGTATCTAATAACATAGGAGTACAAAAAAATAAACAAATAGTCAAGGAGGTAGCGCCATGAAAAACAGTTTTCATGTGCTTCTAAAGCTGAAAGAGAAAATACAAATGATTAAGAGGGATACACCTCTTGGTAGTAAGTATCTCGTAACAGTACAAAAATATGTGTTCAGGGGAAAAATGTAAGGTGCTGCGTATGAAGGCCGTATGGATTTTGTGGCCTTTAAATATATTTATTCTTCAAATGTAAATTTAAACAAGAAATAGACATAACTTGAAAGCTTAAAATTTAAAAGTTTAATCTATATTGAATAAAGGAGTAACATGAAATTGCATATAAGGGGCATTCGTTTCCCGTGACCCCCGCAAGTTTGTACTAATTGTGTCAAAGGAAATTGTGAAATTTGACCTCTAGTTATCTCTTCAGTTGCATGTTGAATGTTTAATCATGTACTTTTCATAAACATAGTGGATTATTTTTAAAACAATTATCAGTATTATACAAAAAGACAATAGGGCTTTTTAAGCTCTATCTGTATATATACAGGTTTAGTCAAAATGACTGACTTTGTAACTATGAAACTATACACAATAACTTTGAATGCTATTTGTATATCTTTTCGAAACCTGACAAGCTTTTAGTAAACATTACAAGTATTTTGTACACATAAATAAGATTTTTAATTAATTATTTGTATTAAAAATATGTCTGTGAAAATATATAACTAGAGTCAGACTTTCACTAGTCTGAGTGCAAGGTGATTTTCATGTTACACTTTTTACATTTCATTTGAATAACCTCTAGGAGCTCCTAAATAAACAAGAAGAGTGTTTTCGGTGAAGTTTTTGTGTGTTATTAAGCCCAAAGCTACACAAAGGGTTATCTCTGCTATGCCCACCACGAGTATCGAAACCCAGTTTCTAGCAGTGTAAGTCCGCAGACATACAACTATGCCACTCGGGGGATTTTCGGTAAAACTTCGTATTTTATCTGTTATTTTCTTTACCACAGTAGGCTGATACAAGGATGCTCTTGCATTGCTTTTATTCCAAAGGCAATGATAGTGACGAAAATGTCGTCTGTTCTTTCGATACTGATTTAGCAATGTTATGTTTTCATCATCGTGATTTATAATAAGTTTCATCAGTACTTAGTTAACATCTGTAACAGGAATCAAAACAGTTTTTATATATGAAATAGCTTAAACTTATTTCATTTGACAATTCATCATTTTCATGTGAATGGTCAACAAATGTGTTACATTGTGAATTTGTAGCAGTGAGTCACATTTTTAAGTAAAAGCAACCAGATTCAGGTGTAAGTAACTCTTTTCCTGACAAATTGACAACTTTGGCCTGAGAAGCAGTATAATCAAAATTTAGATTAACAATACACTGAATTCTGCTTCAAAATGGCCTACTATTTAGTATACTACAAGTTGACTGTGAAGAGTAGAAGCATCTTGTGGTTGTTTAGAAGTACATGTTAACTGTGTAGCACCATGGCTAAAACCTGTTTTGGTGATCTAGAACTAATGTGTCTATAAACATGTAAATATAGATTGATATAAGAAAAATGCATTACTAGTAATATATTGCACATGTTAGATTCACTTGAATTTAATTTTGATTACTTTCACCAGGTCTATTACGTTAAGTTTATGACTGATACACATATATTCAGTGTATTGGGCACATTTCTACTAGGAGTTCGTATCTTATCATAGTATTCGATACGATACGTATCTAGATATTGATGCTGCGATATGAGATCTATATAGATATAGAAGTTTTAACAACGGTTTTTTACTAACTTTGACAGTCTTGTCCGTAATTTATTACCGCCCCCCCCCCCAGTGGCACAGCGGTATGTCTGCGGACTTACAACGCTAGAAACCGGATTTCGATACCGGTGGTGGACAGAGCACACATAGCCCATTGTGTAGCTTTGTGCTTAATTACAAAAACAAAACAAACAAACAATTTATTACCTATATTACTAATATTGTCATATTTAAGTACTTCACACTTTACAGTGCTTTTTCACATTCTCAGGTTTGATCAACTAAATGGCAACTGGCAAGAGAAGTAAAATAAAACAAAAGTTAATATCTGTCTATCTATTTTGTTATTGCTAATTTGTTATGTTACTTTGCATGTAATGTTTTTGATAAAAGAAATGATTTTGTTTGTTTGTTTGAAGCATTGGTTTAATAAACTTATCCAACTATCAAATATTTAACAAAATTTTACATAGTATACGGAAAAAAACACAGTTGTTTGAACCTATAAACCTCATTATTAATAAAAATAATATTATTAGTTTTTGAAATCGCATTTTAGTGTTGTAATTCGTGAAAAAAAATGTTTTGGGTTTTGTAGGTAATGAACCTGTCGAAGAAGTCCAAAAAAACAATTCAAGGTTGGTTTTATTTTCCAATGAGGATGGCTTACCAGGTGCAATCTTATTTTTGCGTAACGTCACATTCAACGACAGAAATCTCTATACCTGTGTTGCACAAAATGTAGTCAACTCGTACGAAGCTTCAGTATTTGTGAGCATTAGAGGTTAGTGGCGATTTCTTTTACAACCACAAACTGCAATCAGATAATAATAATAATAAAATATTTACTTTATATATAACTAACACCAAAGCGACTATTTTTTATCAGAAAAATTCCGGTAAATATAACTTAAAAATATAAACAGAAAAAAAACAAACAACAGCAATCAGGACAAATACAGTTCAGTTAAATAAAAAGGTGTCAATAAAACACTTCTAAGTTCCACAAACGATCAAGTTACTAAATAACACCTGGTGATGTACAACTTGAAATAGTTAAAGATGTGTTGATTAACATGTCGATTTACATGTTCAAGAATATTACTTGCAATCGTTGTTATTATAAAGCTAGTGATTAAAGGTAATTGAAGTCAAATATTAATAAAAGGCATCAAATGATTGATTTATATCATTTCTAAGCAAAAATTCTTTATTTTGTTAAACTCCACAAAAAATAAGGCAAGAGGCAGATTATTATAATTACTTGAATATCCTCTTTCAATGATCACCGTTCCAAAGAAAATCTGTTTTGAATGTAGCTAGATGGTATTTTGAGTTTGCTTTATATTTTTATACGTATTATTACTAAGCAAAGTAATAATATATTGTTGTGTAAAATTGCTAAACTGCTTAGATGGACAGTAAAAATAAAAATATTTAGAACACTTCATTATTATATTGTTATGT